TGAGCTGAGTGCATTCATACTGTCTCATCCAAACTTTCTCTCTTGTCCTCTTTAAACAAAATGCATCACCAGGATGAGCAGGTGATTGTCCCTGCATCTTCAAGCACACATCCATCCTTTATCTGCTCCACAACAGACACCTGCAAGCTGGGTTTCCTGCCTGCTGAGGGAACAGATTAGCTACAGGGCTACTGCAGGTTTCCCTTCTGCTCTGTTCAAAGGGAACATTTTGGTGTTTTGAGCAATGACCCCAGAGGGGGGCTCAGAGATCTGTCCCCTACAGCACAGGAGGGGCATGTTTGTCTGTGAGTGCTGGTATTAGGCTAAAAACCCCTCTGGCTGGTGAAGAAATCAAAGTCTTAAGTCTCTTATCCCAAAAGTACCCAACCCATCAGCCATAAAGAAGACTCTTTTTTTATTTTCTCCTCCCAGCAGTTTTGTGATTCTTTCTCTGTTTTCTTTAGTTTCCTTTCAGGGATGAAAAACCAGAATGTCCCACTTAAAATTTTCCCTTCATTTATGTTTTCAGCAAGGGAGAAAATAACAATTTGGGCCCATCTGAAGTGAACTGTTCTCATTTCACTGTCTGAAATGATTTGGATTCTGGAAGAGAGCAGTTCAGGGAGCAATTTTCTGATCTGAAGAACAATCTTGCAAATTCAGGCCAGCTCCTGGGTTTCGTAGCATAAGGGGCTGAGTTTTGAGCTCTTGCAAGGAGCACCAGGAGTTCATGCTGCTTCAGTAGAGAAACCAGGCTTGGTCCTGGTGAAACCTTCTCCAAGCAGCTTGGGATCCTTCTGCACAAGCCTCTTCTGCTGGTCTCTTCTGCTTGTCTCACCATGACAAGCTGCAGCTCCTCTTCATGGAGCAAAGCCTGAAGTGTGTGGCCACAAATGCTCACTGCTTGAACCAGCTGGGTCTTCATTATTCCTCACAACAAGAGCCAAATCTGCACCAAAGAGATTGGCCACATCACCTTTACTATTGACAGGAAATAGAGATCTCTCCACTGTGGATTTAAAAAACCTCCAGAAAAAAAACTGGTCTCTAGACCACTAGGAAAAAAAACCCCATGTTTGATGTGTCTCTGCTGGCAGGGCACAGAATAATGCTTCATTCCAATCACTGCTCATGCTGGAGAATAAAATGAAATGAATACATTTATTTACCAAAAAAACAACATTTCTTTCACAAGGACAAGAAAATGCAAAGAGTCACATTATAATATCGATTATAATAATCATGATTATAATATGCAGCTATCAGAGACCTCTGGGGAAAATTTAGGCTTTAGATTTGTCTAAAATCTATTCAGTTCATCCCTTCATCTTTTGAATTCACTTCAACAGAAATGGTGTCACTGTACAGGTGGTTTGGGGGGTGATTTGATTTAATTTATTAATTTTTTTTGTAGAAACAACAAGAGAAAATAAAAGAGCAAATAGAGGAAGTGAACAGTGTTCTGCTGAGTGCCACAGCAATTCTGGAAGGGCCACAGAAGGTCAGCTCTGAGCTAAGTGAGGTGATAAAGGTAAGTGCCTCAGAGACTTGTTTAAATCATATATGTGATTTTTTGAGCTATCAGGTTATGTTATGAGGCCACTAAATGAGCAGCTCTCCTCTTACACTGCTCCAAGGAAGCACTAATGAATATTACCCCTAAAAAAGTATAAATATTCCTGGGTGTAAAGCTCTGTACTTACATCTTACTTGGAAAATAACTTGGAAAAATAACTCCATTATCAGCACCCCTTCCTGCAGGCAGAGCTGAATGGAGGGGTTTGCTCTGGAGTTCTCAGTCATTTAATTACAAGCAGCTGCCCAAAGCTGCTCTGGGAACAGGCAGGAGAGGCTGGATTCCTTCTCTTGTGCCTGCAAGTGAGCGTGGGAGAAGGCTCAAGATCCCAGGTATCAGTGTGAAAACCAGCCACTGTTAGGGTGTTAAGCACATATGAACAGATATTGCCCTGCAAGAATCCTCCTCTGGAACTGCAGACTAATATCCAGGGTCTTGAATGAGACCAAGAGCCATAGGACACCTTTAGAAATGTTAGGGGGTTGGACTTTATATGAAAAAGTGAAGAAAATGAAACGGGGATTTTGCTAACTAAAATATTTACCAAAGCTTCTGGGTTTTATGTTTTCTTTTAAAGTTTTGAGATCATGTAAGACAAATGAAAATTCTCCACAAACACTTATCTTGGCCATGGTTGTCCACTTCTTTTATTTTAAGACAAAATCAAATATCCAAAGCTATTCCTTTTCTTTGAAAAAAAGCATTTGAGAAGACAGAAAGAAGACAGCTTGCTTTGTCAGCTCTCCTTGGCTGATCCAGCAGGTTTTGTTGCTGGTTTTCTTTTCCTCCTGTGTTTTGTGCAAATCAAATTGCTGCAGTTTCTCATGTTGAGACCCCCCTTTCTGTGGGTCAGTTTACACACACAGGGGACATTCCCACTGCAGGGAAGGAATCACCTTCTGTCCTCATCAGCAATCAGCAGATGGAGAGAGGTGATTCTGCCCCTCTATTCTGCCCTGGTGAGACCTCACCTGCAGTTCTGTGTCCAGTTCTGGTGCCCCCAGCGAAAGAAAGATGTGGAGCTGTTGGAGAGAGTCCAGAGGAGGCCACAGAGATGATCCTTGGGCTGGAGCAGCTCTGCTCTGGAGCCAGGCTGGGAGAGTTGGGGTGTTCAGCCTGGAGAAGAGAAGGCTCCAGGGAGACCTTAGAGCACCTTCCAGGGCCTGAAGGGGCTCCAGGAAAGCTGGGGAGGGGCTTGGGACAAGGGCAGGGAGGGAGAGGACAAGGGGGATGGATGAAAACTGGAGGAGGGGAGATTGAGGTGAGACATGAGGAGGGAATTGTGGAGTGTGAGGGTGGTGAGAGCCTGGCCCAGGTTGCCCAGGGAAGCTGTGGCTGCCCCATCCCTGGCAGTGTTGAAGGGCAGGTTGGATGGGGCTTGGAGCAGCCTGGGCTGGTGGGAGGGGTCCCTGCCCATGCAGGGGGTGGGACTGGATGGGCTTGAAGGGCCCTTCCAACTCAGAAAATTCCATGATTATGTGATCAGCAAGTTGTGTATTGCAGAAGAGGTGAACACAGGCCCTTTTGGTCTTCCCCACAAGCAATTCATTCAGGAAGCATGGCTAAGGCACAGGGGTACTGCTCATTGCCCAGACATACACATAGATAGTGTTGAGGTGAACTGATTTACAATTTAAACTGCAAATTACACCAACCCAACACATCTTAGCCTGAGGGATGTCTCTGTCAAGCAGACAGAAAGGGGTCAGGGCCAGTTTTTCCACCATGTGGCACAGCTGACCGTTGAGCAGATCAACTCTCTGACCCTCTCCAGCAATTCCCAGATTGTCCCTGGCACAGGATCTGATCCCAGGCTGTTCCCCAAGGAAGCAGGTTGGGGAGACAGGGAGGGTGGCAGCTGAGCAGGGACCCAGCAGTGCCAGGGCCCCTGCAGTCACAGGGAGCTGCACAAGCCCACCCACACCAGCACTGCCTGGTTTCCTTGGGCAGATATCATTTACAAGTCCCAAAAACTAATTTCTAGCCTTCAGTCTTCACAGAAAAGAGGTAATAAAATAAATAAATAAATAAATAAATGAAAAATGGTGGGTTCCACCTCCCAATGAAGAAGAACCACGATTGTTTGCCAAGATCTAGTTTAATTACTTCACCTATTAGCACTTTACTCTGAAGGAGTGGGAGTAGATAGTAAGCAATGTCTCAGCTGCCTGCCTTTTGTATTACACAGACATCTCTCTAATATCTTTTTAAGTGACTCCTGGAGCCTTGGTTGGTTTGTATCTTCCTGCACTTGTCTTGCCAGACTGATACTCATGGGACAGACTTTTTTGGATCTTCCTCTGTTTTAGCTGTCAAAAATGTAACATGGAGCAGATACAAAAGAACAACATGATAATAACATAAAAGATAAAATAAAATATAATAATAAAAAATACAGGCTTGATTTTTTTACAGGTTTTCTCTTCTTTCCTTCCTCCCATGTTTTGTTCAGAACGTGTCAGGGCTCTATGCAGAGATAGATGGAGCAAAGAAGGAACTGCAAGAAAAACTGTCCAATCTGTCTCTGTTTGATGCTGATTTGGTAGAGAAGGCCATGCAACATGCACTCCTCCTGAGAAGACTTGCTGATGAGCTGGCTGGGTAAGATTGCACTTCAGCAGACTCTGGTCACAGCAGAGCTGCTGATGGAGCAGCTGAATGAACTGAGAGCAGCAGGAGCAAAGTGACATTAATCTGTCTGTAAATAGGCACTGAGCAAATCTCTGGGAAGTCAGGTATGGAAGGACTTGTCATGGTGCAGGGAGCAGAGCTGAAGTGCAGCTAAACAAGGTCTATTCATATTTCCAAAGAACAAACATAGACATGAGCAGGGACACACACATATACCTGTCCCTGCCCATGGCAGGGAAGTTGGAGCCTGATGATCTTTAAGTTCCCTTCCAACCTTCACCATTCCATGATTCCATAGTATCTTGCATGACATTCTCCCCATTCTAATTTGGCACATTCCTCTCTTTCTGTATCAAGACAAACAGGAAAGGTAGACTCCTGAAAAGTAAAACACTGCAGGTGGGTTAAATGGGGTTTGCAGAAACAGCTCGTGGCAGGAGGTTCATCCACACTGAAAAATGTTTAGCATTGTGGGCCATGAAATGGTCTTTTATCCATAAAATGGATAATGTTTGTTGAAGAACTGGTTTACAGATGGAGCAGTTCTGATTCTCAGCAGGTTGTGTCCCAGCAAACTGGCCAGTCAAAAGGCAGGGAGTCCTACTGTGCTGGAGGATGAGAAATGCATCCACTTTCCCCCAGTTTAATAAAAAGTCCCTTCTAGACAGATTTGAAACCTGACTTCATTTGCAGTTGAGACAACCCATGGAAATTCACTGCTGCAAATGAATTCTTAAATAAAGTATTTCACCAGATTCTGCATGAATTAACATGGACATCTGCTTTTGGAAGGTAAAATCACACTTCAAGCATAGTATCTAAACACCAGTTGTTTCTTAATATTAGTATGCTCTAGATTGGAGATTGAAATAGAGAAAAAAAATAACAGATGGTTTTCTTTTTACAATTGTTTCAAGCTGAAACTGTGTTCCATAATGTCACACAACCTGCAGACAGCCTAAAAAATAAGCAATATGCTCAGTCTGAGATCAGCTCACTGGGGGCAGCAGAATCCTTTGAAAGAAAACACCCCATATGGCCACCTTCAGCCCTGCTCCAAAAGAATTTAAAAATCACTCTCAGGCTGAACACACCAGGAGTTTCACAGAAAGCAAACAAAAATAATGTTGAAATATCCAGATGGAAATGTGCTGACTCTTTTATTTGCTGAGAAGATTGTCCTGCAATGAAAATTTAATCCTTTAAAACTTTGAGCCTGTCTTCAAATCCATCTGGTTTTATGGGTTTGCTTCATGAGCCTGTTAGGTTTTTATTTGGTAGAGTTTCATAGAATGATAGAACCCAGTAATGGTTTGGGTTGGAAGGGACCTTCAAGATCATCCAGTCCCAACCCCTGCATGGGCAGGGACACCTCCCACCAGCCCAGGCTGCTCCAAGCCCCATCCAACCTGCCCTTCAACACTGCCAGGGATGGGGCAGCCACAGCTTCCCTGTTTCCTTTGCCTTAGGGGAATATAGCAGGAAATCCCTGCAACAACACTGGAGCTGGAAACTTAATAATCCCTCAGCCTGCAAACACTGGGAAGCCAATACACACGTGTAAATAGATAAAAATGTAGAGTTTATATGTAACATATACTCAGAAATCTGTTAAAAACTATTATTTATTCCAAGTTGCCAACAGCTGAAGGTTGAGCCCCAAAACAACTGCTGGTTGGAGTCTCCCCTGAAGAGAAGTTACAGCCTGATGACCAAACCCAGCCCTGCCCTGCCAGCAAAGCCACCCTGGCATTTTTAAATCTAACTTTTTTCAGCATTTCACAACTACAGACATTTCTTCATCTGATCCTCCCCCTTTCCCCACCTCCTTTTATAAAGTCCAAACAGCCCAGTGACACAGCTGCCCTGGTCACTGACACACACAGGTCTTTCCATTCGTGGCCAGGAGTTACCCCTAAAGATGGGCAACTGATCCAGCTGGGACCCTGCTCATTTATGGAGTACAGACCCCAATTTAAAAAAAGATAAAAGTAGTCACTGCTCACTTAGATGTTAAGAGCAAAGTTCCCAAAGTTAAACCACTGGGAAGTACCTTCCATCCACATAGTTTTCACCTGTTTCACTATATTTATGGGTGTGATTGTGTGGTCAGAATTCACACCACGTTAAGGAAATCAGTCGATTTGAAAGGACTTTGATTCAGTTTGGTTTCTCCCTCCTTTGCTCTGTTTTTCCCAGGAAGCTGTATGGTGTGGATACCAATGGCTTGGTGCAAAGGGCAATAAATGCTTCCAACGTGTATGAAAACATTGCTGGTTACATTGCAGAAGCCCAGAAAGCTGCTCTGCTGGCACTGAACACAACACACCGGGTCAAGGATGTAAGTGGTGTCCATCATACCTGCTCTTCCCTTGCAGTGCTTCAGGGACCTCACACACCTGAGCAGAAAGAAAAAACAAACCTCAGCTTTACTTGTCAGCACTGAGCTCCTCCTGCACCTGCCCTTGCAGTTCTAAAATATTTCATATGCATTTTCTGCAGGTAGTTTCCAAGTTATACACACGCTGCCCAACAGCAGTTTGCTAGTGGGACAGCAAGAGGACCTGGTTAGATTAGAGGGGCCTAAACTCCACAGAGCTTTGGGCTTTGGAGTCCAGCTCTCTGCTTCCAACACACCAGTGGGGAGGGGGAGGCAGCTCCCCAGACAGTGCACGTGCTCCTCACCCATCTGAGGGGACAGCAGAAATGAACAGCTCCAGGCCCTGACTGACATGAGGCATGAGTATCATAGAGTCATTAAGGTTGGAAAAGTCCTTCAAGGTCATCAAGTCCAGCCATCTGCCCAACACCTCTGTGGCCACTAAACCATCTCCTGAAACACCATGTCTACCCCTTTTTTTAACACCTCCAGAGACAGTGACTCCACCTCCTCCCTAGGCAGACTGTTCCAATTTCAGTGAAGACATTTTTCCTAATAACCAATCTGAACTTCCTCTGGCACAACATGACCCTGTTTCCTCTTGTCCTATCTCTGGTCACCAGGGAGAACAGCCCAACACCCACCTCCCTACAAGCTCTTCAGGTAGTTGTAGAGAGCAGTGAGGTCTCCCCTCAGCCCCCTCTTCCCCAGGCTGAACAGCCCCAGCTCCCTCAGCCTCTCCTGGTAAGACCTGTTCTCCAGACTCTTAACCAGCCTGGCTGCCCTTCTCTGCACCTTGCCCAGCTCCAGCACTGAACAACTGAAGTTGATAAATGAAGTGGATTTCTGTGCTTTCTGCATCTTTGTTCTTTGCTGTTGTCTGGAAAACCACATGGAGTAATAGGTTGTCCACAATGAAAGACAACAAAGAGGGACATGTGGTAAGTACTGCTCTGACTTTCTTTTCTGGACCATCCTTGTAGGCTGCAGGTGGAATTGACACTCAGATCATTTACCATAGAGGTAAAAGTGAAGAACTTCTCCACCGAGCCATGGAGCTACAACGGGCAGCAGAAGACAGTAAATACACCTCTTCTCTACTTCCCCAGTTGGTTTCTAAGTTTGCACATGAAAATACATGTCAAGAGCACCTCACTAAGGCAGAACTACTTCTGTAACAGAATAGTTAGTGATCATGGAATCACAGAGTCATGGGATTGTCAGAGTTGGCAGGGAGCTCTGGAGATCACCCAGTCCAACCCCTGCCAGAGCAGGATCCCCTAGAGCAGATCCCACAGGAACACAGCCAGGTGGGGCTGGAATGTCTGCAGGGATGGAGACTCCACAGCCTCCCTGGGCAGCCTGGCCCAGGGCTCTGGGACCCTCACAGGCAAGAAGGGTTTCCTCATCTCCAGCTTCAACCTCCTGGGCTCCAGTTTGTGCCCATTGCCCCTTGTCCTGTCCCTGGACACCCCTGAGCACAGTCTGGCCCATCCTCCTGACACCTCCTGCAGATATTGAGCAGCACTGAGCAGATCCCCCCTCAGCCTCCTTTTCTCCAGCTGAACAGCCCCAGCTCTCCCAGCCTTTCCTCACAGGCAGATGCTCCAGCCCCTTCAGCATCTCAGTGCCCTGTGCTGGACTCTCCCCAGTAGTTCTTGTCCTTCTGGAACTGGGGAGCCCAGACCTGCCCCCAGGGCTGCAGGGGAGGCCTCCCCAGGGCAGAGCAGAGGGGCAGGAGAACCTCCCTGAGCTCCTGGCCATGCTTGTCAATGCCCCCAGGGTGGTGTTGGCCTCTTGGCTGCCAGGACACACGGCTGGCTCATGCTCAGCCCGTTGTCCACCAGGACTCCCAGGTGTTTTCCCCAGAGCAGCTTCCCAGCAGGTCACCCCTAACTGGTGCTGGTGCCTGGGGCTGACCCTGCTCAGGTGCCACACTCTGCCCCTGGCCTTGTTGACCTCTATCAGGTTTCTCCAGCCTGTGCTGTGGTGTATGACACCCTCAATAACACACCTGCACAGGATAAAACTTGCCTTTCAGAAGAGCAGGCCGGGGCACTGAGCTCTCCCCCTGTGTCTCCCCCAGGCCAGGATGCCGCAGTGGCAGGGACGGGCCGGCAGGTGAACGGCCCCCTGGGCAGGGTGCGCGCGCTGCGGAGCCAGCTGCTGGGAGCCATCTCCAGCCTGCAGGCAGCAGGGACAGGTGGGAGCAGCACCTTCGGCTTCATCTTCACACATTCACACACTTCAGAGCATATTTTATCTTTGCACACAACCCGTGGAGTTGGTATTAAGACTTCTGTCCCGGGGAGGCCTGAAGGACGTTGACTAAAACACACTCACCGTGACATTCTCTTCTGCCACGTGAAGTTATTCATGTTCTTCTTGATACTCTTTACTACAGTTCTCCTCTCCCGTGTTACTCTTAATCTTTTCTGGGCTTGGAGGCCCTACAAGCCTGTGGATTTATTGTATTGATAGTTAAAATCTAATTCCCGTGCACATCACACCTGGAATGCAGAGTGTTGGGGAGGTAATTGCTTGACTGGCCTAACATCACCTTAGCTTTCAGAAAAGAGACATCACAGGGCATCCTGCACGTATGTCTGGAGGAGTTCAAAGGTGACATGCTCAAGGCTTCTTCATTGACTTCAGCTAGAACTGTCTGGGCTTTACAGCCAGGATATCATCCCCTGCAAGATGCCCCAGGTTTTACCAACACAGCAGTTGGTGACTCAAAAAAAGCAGGCAAAAAACTAAACAAACAAAACCAAAACAAACAAGCAAACAAAATTACAGGTAGAAAAAACCAAAACCACTTCAGTGTCCTTGGTTTCTCTCCTTCAAAAATAGCTTCTGTTTCTTTCTGAAGAAACTCAACAAATACCTGCATTTTCTTTTAAAACCCTAATGAAAATCCACCTCTTTCCCCGTCTCTGCTCCAACTTCCTTGGCTACACAATAGCCCTCAAAACATAAGGACACTGAGCATTTCCACCCACCTAGAATGGAAATGAGAATTTGTTAAATTTGCAGACTACAACTGTAGACTAACTACAGGATTTATTTTTTATTAATACTCCTGGTGGAAGGGAAAACAAACCCAACCCAGCCGGGTGGGCTCCCTGTTCCACAGCCGGTTATAATCCCCTTTGCCTCAGCACTTTCCAAGGGGTGGTTTTAGCTGCCTGGAACCTTTGGGAGAGCCCGTTCCTTCCCACCCCCCTGTTTCTGTTGCAGTGGAGGCCCGGGAGCGCCTGGAGCAGGCCCAGCTGCAGACTGCAGAGGCTGTGAGTGCCACCACCTCCGTCACCCAGGCCACGGCGCCCATGGGGGAGAACGTCAAGCTCTGGTCTCAAAACCTGCAGGACTTCCAGCACAACTCAGCAGCGTATGACAGCGCTGTGCACTCGGCTGGGGACGCAGGTAGGGTGAGCTCAGCTCTGCCACTCCTGAGCGCTGGAGGTCAGGGAACCATCACAGCAAAACGCTGGGTTTGTGGTTTATGTTGTGTAGTATTTGTATATAATGTTGTATATTAATTGCATAAGGGGCTGGAGAACAAGTCCTACAAGGAGAGGATGAGAGAACTGGGACTGTTTAGTGTGGAGAAGAGGAGGCTGAGGGGAGACCTCATTGCCCTCTGCAGCTCCTGGAAGGAGGGTGCAGGGAGGTGGGAGTTGGGCTCTGCTCCCAGGTGGATAACGACAGGACAGGAGGAAATGGCCTCAAGTTGTGCCAGGGGAGGTTCAGACTGGATGTCAGGAAGGATTTCTTTTACCAAAAGAGTGGTCAGGCCCTCAGGCTGACCAGGGGGGTGGTGGAGTCTCCATCCCTGGAGGTGTTTAAGAACCACGTAGACGAGGCCCTCCAGGACATGCCTTAGTGGGTGGTGAGATGTGGGGGGTTTGGGGTGGGTTTTTGATTGGTTATTTTTTAGTTGGTTATTTTTTGGTTGGGTTTGTGGTTTGGTGCAGTTTTTTGGGGAGGGTGTTGAGTTGGACACAGGAATCTTAGAGGTCTTTTCCAACTGTAACAACTCTGTGATTTTAAGATTCTACCTCCACAAAAACCTTTCAAAAATTAGCAGTTGTCTAGAGACTTAACTAAACTTTAGATCTTTTGGATACTTGGGCATTTCCAAAAATTACTTAAACACTGAAGGGCTGAATTAGCTCCCAAGTCCTTTTACCAGGGTACCAAAGTCCCACTGAATGGTTGACAGCTCTTTTAAATACTTCTTACTATTATGAGTGGTGGTTTGGTTGCTTTTTTAACACTGAGAGGCAATGGAAAACTGGGCCCTTTTGTCCTCAGTAGCACAAACATGGATGAGAAATAGTCCCTAACTTGATCAGCTTGTAGTCTAAACAAAGGGGGCAAAGAGGATTAGGGAAGAAATATAATATTTAAGCAGGGTGATTGCTGGAAAAGCTTGTAAACATCACATTAATTCCACTTTTATTACTGGGGAGGAGGAAGAATAAAGATTGAAATATTTGTTATGAAAAATATAGGTAAATATAAAGACAAAAGAAAAACTGAGCCTACAAAACTGAAATGAAAATGACAGGAGAGAATGGAAAAAGAGGCAAGGAGAGTGAAGCTGGCATGGAGTGACTGGTGAAAGAGGGAAAAGAACAATTGGGAAAGAAAATAATCAATCTAGAAGTGAAAATATTGGGAATAAATAATTTAGGACAACCACCATTTATTGCTGAATGTATTCCTGGCTCTGCTCAAGAGGCTCAATAATCCAAAGTTATTGATGGCTGAACAAGTCATTTCCTGCATTTGTTGGATGATGTTCCATCCCCTGCAGCACAGTTCAGTGATGTCCTGCCTCCTGAATGGGCCCCAGAGAAGGTCCATAACTCCATCCACTCTATCTCCAGAAAGCCTGAATCTCAGATTTACTGCCCAAAATCCCTCCTCCTTCTATTAGGAGCTTTGCAGCTTCAGTGTCACTTTACTGCAGATGGTGTTACCAGTGCCCAACTCAGCATTGCCTCCAGTGCCCCAAAGCCACCCTCTTCCCTCTAGACCAGGGAAACACCTGGGTCATGTTCTTTCCAGAATTCAGTAAAGGATAAGACCATTCTTTTGGGTTCCATTATCCTGGATATCCACTTTCAGTAATGGACAAGAGCAATATTTTTGAGGAAGTGAGTGCTCCCAAGAACTGGTATAAAAGTGGCTCCTTCCACAAGAAGAAATTCACTGCTGGTCAATATCCCAACTTCTGACTCCAGAACCAGAGGCAACTCATATTTAGAATCATAGAACCATCCTGGTTGGAAGGGACCTTGAAAATCATCAAGTCCAACCATAACCTAACTCTCCCTACCATAACCTGATTTACCCATTCAGTGTTTAAATCCTGTCCCTAAGCAATGTATCTACATTTCTTCTGAACACTTCCAGGGATGGTACCTCCCCCACCTCCCTGGGCAGCCTTTTATCCAAAGGGAACACTGAGCCATTCCCTCTGGGTGAGCTCACTGCTGGTCCAGAGCTCCAGAAAGGGGCACTTACTGGAAAAGCAGCAGGGCTGGGATATGGGTTTGATGAAGACAGACCTATGGGCTCCTACTCCCATTTGAGAGAATGTAAATGTGGGTATGACTGGCATCCAGGGAGGGAAGGGTATGAGGAAAACATCTAAGAGAAACAGTCTGCCATAACTTACACATGAAGGGGTTTGTTTCCATTCCCCTTTACACTTGATTTACATGGAACATTTACCAGTGCCAGATGAGCAGGGAGAGCAGCCACACAAACTGCATTTGGCTTCTCATGCTCAAAAATGTCAGCAGACATTCAGGATTCAAAAAATCTGTTCATTCTAGCTGCTATGCTGGGAGAAATCTTTCCAGTAGGATTTGATAGACCCCATCAGAGTGGATAGACCTGAGATGGCCCAGCTCTGCAGGAGGCATCGTGGCACAGCATCAGTTGTGCTGCACAGCTCTGCTTCTCAGTGATGTGCCTGGGCAAAATTCCTGCCCTGTGCTGGGGGGTTTGCAGGCAGGGAGCCCCCCTGAAAGTGCTGATCACATCAGGGTGCCAGGAGGGGCCACAAACTGTCTGAGAGCTGCTGACATGCAAACTGCAGCCACGTGTGCTGCATTTGAGGAGGCAGCTTTGCCATGGCTCTTTTTTGGTAGAAAGGCCTCTATCTTTTTATTTTGTTCTCTTTTGTTTTAAGGCATGATGACTTTATTTAATTAATATTTTTTTTGGCCAGAAAAATGAGGTGGAAGCAGCTGAGAGGACAGATCAGGGCTGCACAGGAGGCTGGCACAAGCAGCACTGCAGCCTGATCCAGCTGGGAGCCACAGCCTGGGAAGGCAGATGTAGACATGAGGCAAGGGGAAGTGTCTTCAGATCAGCTGTGTGGGGGCCAGGAGAGCTTGAGCTGCCAGGAGGAACGTCCAGCAAAGGCCAAAAGAAAGCAATAAAAAAGTTCAGCCAGATTTCCAAAACACCAGACCAGCTGATCCCCACAGCAAGAGCCCTGCCATGGCAGGTGAAGCCTCTAAGCTGGCAAGGAAACCAGGCTGCACTGACAGGGAGTGTTAGAGCTAAAATTCAGGGAGTTGAGGAAATGTCTTGGAAAGTCATTGCAGTTTATCAGCAATATTTTTTGGTGAAAAAAACGATGTGGGTTGCTTTATACTTTCCTCACGAGTCAGGAAAAGCCCTACAAGGGGCAGGGGAATAGCAAATGTGTTTTAAATCCTACCCATTGCTCCCTTTTAATTTGGCTCTGTGCCTCTCTAAATAAAAATCGGGTTTATATAAAATTGTTACATGCATTTATAATAAAGTATAAATTATCCACCATGAGGGTGGTGAGAGCCTGGCCCAGGTTGCCCAGGGAAGCTGTGGCTGCCCCATCCCTGGCAGTGTTGAAGGGCAGGTTGGATGGGGCTTGGAGCAGCCTGGGCTGGTGGGAGGTGTCCCTGCCCATGCAGGGGGTTGGGACTGGATGATCTTGAAGGTCCCTTCCAACCCAAACCAGTCTGTGATTCTGTGTCTGGTTTGCCTTTGAATAAAGCTTGCACTTGATGTTTAAAAGGCTGAGGGCACATCTTGGCTGGGCAGTTTGGCTGAGAACATTCTGGGTGCCCATGGAGCAGGAAACTGGTGGGCTCCAGCAGGGAGGACAAATGGCAGTTTAGGAAGGGAAACACAGAAGGAGAAAGTGTCTGGAAGGTTATAGCCAAGGAATTTCCTCCCTGACACTTCCCCTCACACTCTTTGTTGTGCTTTATCACTAGGTCAGACTAGGTTTCCTTTTTCGGGCATTTCAGGAATTCAAAGACAAGATTAAAAAAATCAATATTCTTCTGTGTTGAAAAATGTCATTTTAAAGGATAACAGGACGAGATTTATGGTGAGATTCTATACCAGTACTAGTAGTAACAGATGTTAGCTTTTTGTTTGTATGTCCCAGTTGTGCTTCAAGTTTAATACCTCAAATTTCAGACAAATGAAAAGCCAGTTTTTCAAGACATCAGATCAGACACAATTCCAATTCATTTGCTGATTATGAAAAAAAAAAAGGGGAGGGCAGTTGGAATTTGCTAAATCACTTTCTGAGCCTGCATTTTTTTATATTATTTTACTTTAAGAATAATGTGGGCTCTTTTCCAATGCCATGGAATGTTCATGTCAAAAGGCAGAGAAATCTTCCTGTAAGTTGATTACTCCAGTGGTTACTTCTTTTAAGTAGAAATTTTAATGCATTCTGGAATTAATGTGTTACCCAGAGTTCATGGTAGGTTTTTGAGGATTTGCAAAACTAATGGCATTTTAATGCACAGTAATCTTTATATAGAATATCTGATTAGTGACTCCCAGCATGTAAGGTATTGCAGGATGCAATGGGAGTAACTGGAGAGGGTAAAGCTCCATCTGGCCCAGTCCTACACTGGCCTTGGAAAGTAAAACACAGGTGAAAAAAACCAAGCAGAGAGCAGGACTATGGCAAACACAGGTTTTCACCCTTTCCAAGTGGAATCAGGACTTGTAGGACTCCATGGCTTGGAGCAACCTGGGCTGGTGGGAGGTGTCCCTGCCCATGGGGTGGAACTGGATGATCTTGAAGGTCCCATCCAATCCAAACCATTCTATGATTCTAGGATCTCATGCTGTGAGTTGCTCTGCATGAGGCTGAGAATCTGCTTCAGTTTTTAGCCACAAGAGCACTGGCAAAGTGCTTGGAGGACACTCCTCCTCCTCCCTTCCCTTCCCTCCAGCCTCAGCTCCCCCCAGGGTCAGCTCCCCTGCCTGTCTTCCTGCTCAGACAGGAGGGACAACCTGAGGGGAACAACATAAGAGCAGGCAGAGCAAGTTGACAACCCCTACCATGTAGCTGCAAACCCTACAGATCTGCTCTTAACATTTATAGTGAATCTATGTCATTACAAACTAGCTCTGAGTTCTCAGTCTCTCTGATACACACGCAGCTTGTGGCCAAGGCCATGTTGCATGAGATCCAGCTCGTTGTACCTGCATCTCATTGAAGATGAAAAATGATGTGATGTGTAAATATCTCCCACAGGGCAGCATGTCACTGGCATCTGCTGTGACTGGGGGGGGCTGGGGGGGGGGCTGGAAATTACAATCAAGGGTAGTTATTTTTCTTTCTTGGTAATTTTTTTGCCTGCCTATCACTCTGGGAAAGGACTTCCCTCCCTTTGGACACCCCACAGCACCTGCTCTGATAGCAATCCCACCTGCACACATACCAGAGACACAGCAGGGAAAGACAGAAGGTCCAGGGCTCTGATTCCTGCCCCCTGGCAGATGCAGGCAGGAGAGCTGAAGAGGTTCCCACTCCCCAGGCAGGAGGGCAGCACAGTGTGGCTGCACATCCATCAGCAGCTGAGGGTTGCTGCTGGGGCACAGTGCAGCCCTGCTGCCACAGCCAGAAAGCAGGGATGGTCCTTCCCCATGGAGTCCTGCTGGACAGTGAGTTATCAAGGGACAGCAAAGTGCCCTTGTGGCCAAGAGGGCCAATGGAAACCTGGGGTGCATTAGGAAGAGCATGTCCAGCAGTTGAGGGAGGTTCTTCTCCCTCTCTGCTCTGCCCTGCTGTGGTCACATCTGGAGTGTTGTGTCCAGTTCTGGGCTCCTCAGTGCAAGAAGGACAAGGAGCTACTGGAGAGAGTCCAATGAAGGCTACAAGGATGATTAGGGGACTGGAACATCTGTCTGGTGAGGAAAGGCTGAGACCTGGGGCTGTTCAGTCTGGAGAAGACAAGACTAAGAGGGGACCTGATTAATGTCCATAAATACCTGCAGGGTGGGTGTCAAGAATGGGCCAGTGTCTGTTCAGTGGTACCTGTGATAGAATGAGGGAAAATGGCACCAAGTGACAACACAGGAAGTTCCACCTCAACATGAGGAGAAACTCCTTCCCTGTGAGGGTCCCAGAGCCCTGGGCCAGGCTGCCCAGGGAGGCTGTGGAGTCTCCATCCCTGCAGACATTCCAGCCCCACCTGGCTGTGTTCCTGTGGGATCTGCTCTAGGGGATCCTGCTCTGGCAGGGGTTGGACTGGGTGATCTCCAGAGCTCCCTGCCAAACCCACCACTCTGGGAATCTGTGAGTGTTTCTGTTACCAGGCTGTGCTGTGACCCCCGGGCAGCCCCACCAGCCCTGCAGCCAGAGCTGCTGTCTGGGTGATCACCTTTGGGAGAAACACTCAGCAGAGAGCTGAGGAAACAAGCTCCTCATCTCCCCTGACATGGATCTGAAGAGCTCACGCACCAGAGCTCCCAGATGCAGTTCCCAGGTTGGGTCCAGGTTCCCAGTGAGAGGCTGAACAAATCATTCTTCTGCTCCAGTTGCCGTTGCTGTAAAATTGGGTTTAACTTTTATTTACCTTTGGAGGAAGAGGAAAAGCTTAAAATCAACATTTGCAAAACTCCCTGAAGAAAATGTTACAGAGGTACAACCCCGTGGTGGTGCCTGGGGGTCCCAGGAAAGAGTAGTGTCCTTTGTGCAAAAACTTGTGCAATGCTGACAAATCACTGCAGTCACTGCCCCTCACAGCACAGCCAGGACTTGTTCTTCAAGAGGAGGGAGATAAGGGAGTCAACCTGGGAGAGTAGGGAAGGATTTTTGCTGCAGCCACATCAGTGTCACCCAAAGGAAACAAGCCAACGTGTCACTTCTTTTCCAACTTCAGTGCAGAAACTGACAGAAGTCTTCCCTCAACTCCTGGACAAGCTGCGCAGGGTGGAACAGAAGGCACCAGCAAACAATATTTCTTCCAGCATTCAGAGGATCAGAGAGTTAATCGCTCAAACCAGGAGTGTAGCAAGCAAGGTAAGACTGCTGGGTGGGACTTGGGGCTAGCACTGCTATCACCCCCTGCATCTTCCCAGGAGCTCCATTTTATTGGTCTATGTTAGAAGCCCAAACCCTGACATGATCATCTCCCAGCAACTGGATAAACAGAGCATGGGAGAAGTCATGAAAATCTTGGCAGTTGCCATTTGCCAGCAACTGACATTTCCCTGGTGCTCATGGCAGAGCTCAGCTCCTGCACTGGCAGCTTCAGCTGATGGTGTTAAAGTGCCAAAGGTGGCCACAATAACAAAACCACTTTAAGCTAAAACTAGTAGCTCATTACTCAGCTGGCAAAATTAGTTTCAAGCAGTAGTTATTACAGCAAACTTCTCTGGGATGACAGGATTTCTTCTGGCTTTATTCTCTTTTAACTCATTCTCTGCAGGTAAGAAAACCTTTGGGTCACACATATTTAGTGGAGAAACACACATGCATTATACATCAATTATGAGGGATTTTTCTGCAGCACCAACACTGGTGTCAAAATTTGAAGCAGTAGATTTTAACTCATTCAGAGAAATCAAAAATTCAGTGCACTGTTGTGTGTCCACAGTGCTGGAATGTGCTGCCCGTGCACACCACTTCCATGACTCTGTGCTCAGTGCTTGGCTGGCCTGGAAATGCATTTCATCATCCAGACACCTTGTGCTTAGGCTGGGAACATGCTTTCAGTTATCTTAAAGGCATTTTAAAATAAAATTAACATGGTTTAAAATGTTATCAGCATCTCACATACATCACTTTAACTCCAGTAACACAGCAGGATTATTTGTGAACAGAAAACTGGTCATACTGCCCCCAAAGCTGAGAGGGAAATGGTGGGTAGGAGAAGTTTTACAGCTCTGTGTGAGCTCCATTCTGTGCCACACATGATGATGTAGCCTTTGTTCTATTAAGCACACACCCCCCTGAAATTTAATTTACTTTATGAACATCCTTAAGCACAGCTAACTAATTCATTTTAAAATGAATTCCCTTCATCTTCTTTCCAGTGTCTTCTAGAAGTGATTGTTATAAACACCCAAGTCTCCATTGCCCATATTTAGGGGGCAACTCTTCCCTTGCAGTAACCAGGCTGCTCTGAGGGTTCTTGCCCATTCACCTCCCCTGATGTCCCCAGGCTGCAATAACCTGTCTCACTGAGCACCCTTGCAACTGCAGGTCCAGGTGTCTATGATGTTTGGAGGACAATCAGCTGTTGAAGTCAATCCCAAGATCAACGTGGAGGAACTGAAATCTTTCACTTCCATGAGCTTGTACATAAAGTTTGAAAAAGACAACCCAGAACTGGCAGCATCTCCAGACAGATTCATTTTGTACCTCGGAAGTAAAAACGTAAGAGAATAACCTTGTTTGTTTGGTTGGTTGGTTGGTTGGTTGGTTGGTTGGTTGGTTGGTTGGTTGGTTGGTTTAAAAGGAAACGTACATAGGTTTGCAGTTTATTTGCCCTTGGTTTTTCCTCTCAGTGTTTCTCCATGTTTCAAAACAAGAGGCAACTACTGTGTGGCTGTCATTGAGTTTGTGATCAGAGAGCAAGTGTTCCCAAGACCCCTGCCTCCTCGTAACCCCAGAGGCTTTTGGTGACACTTTTTGCTGCTGACAGTGTCCATCCCAAACCTCTGGGGCCACAGGCCCACAGGATAAGCAGGGTTCTTTGCCTGTGGCTTGTGCTGCAATTGTACACTCTGTACATTGTGACTTTGAAACACCTTGAAAAGGCATCTACAGCCTGTAAGTGGTGTGAAATAATTGCTCTTCAAATTGTCATTCCTAAAAGCAAAAAAATCACAGCCCACAAGCCAGGTGTAATCCTGGCAAGCTGTTCCTTGGGCAAGGTAAAGGGGCAGGCTTTTCATTCTAGGCTTTTCTGAAAAGAATATCTAGTGAATATAAACCAAGTGAAACCTCTCCTGGTAGAATATTGAATTGATGCCTCACACCTGGGCTTTAGGCAAATGGTTCCTCCTGTTCCCTGCACATGACACTGCACACTGGGCACTGATGAACAGCTCCCCCTGAACACAACCAATCTGAGGTCAGAAGACACCTAATGACCTTGTATTCACTTCAATAAAATGGATTTTAAGTAAAATATTGGAGGCTTTTTCTGTACAGTTTTATCTGGTGAAAAAAAGTAATTTGAGAATGAAGCTTTTGTTTAGTAGTTTTATTTCAAGGTGCCACATATTTAATCAAAGCCCATCTTTTGCTAAGGCTCTGCATCCAGGCCCTGACATCCTTCTCCATTGGTGTTCTAGGCAAAAAGTTACATTGGTCTTGCAATTAAAAATGACAACCTTGTGTACATCTATAATCTGGGGGGACAAGATGTGGAGATACCTCTGGATGCCAAGCCAGTCAGCACGTGGCCTTCTTACTTCAGCATCATCAAAATTGAGAGGTAAAGTGGTAATGTACATCTCCCCAAAGTCAAACAGGTAATGGGAAAAATCAAACAGAGCAGGCTGAGCCAGAACTGCTCCTCAGTCCTATTCACTGCCTGGTTCTGCTGAAATACAAAGAAATTCTCTTTGATTTCAGAGTCAGGATCCAAGGAGCCACAGTGGGGAAGAGCAGGTTCTTTTGCCCCACAAAGTCCAGTTTTCTACTGAGGAAATAAAAACCCTTCCTGAAGTTGGAGGCTTTCTTGTTCTTTTTGAGTGTAGCCAATGCAAAACTCTCTTCTCTTGCAATTTCCTTCCCCAGGATTGGAAGACATGGCAAAATGTTTTTAACTGTGCCCAGTCTCAGCAGCACAGCTGAAGAAAAATTCATCAAAAAGGGAGAGGTTCTTGGTCCTGGCTCCCTCCTGAATTTGGAACCTGAGAATGCTGTTTTCTATGTTGGAGGAGTGCCTCCAGACTTCCAGGTTGGTCAGATAAATACCCTACATTAAAAATTAAACAGGGTGAACTTACCTTGCCCTGCTTCCCTTTAAACACAGGAATAGTTAGCAAAGAGAATGTCCTTCTTTAGTCATTTGTCACCTTAGGCCTCTGCCTTTTAGCTGTGGTGAAAAACCCAGTTTTCTCCAGCATATCATGTCATGCAGTAAGACCATCAGATTCCTGTTGGCTGCCCTTCCTGGTCTCTGAAATGCAACCACAAGAAAAAACCCTGCCAGCTGCTCAGCAGAAATGAAGACCTACCAGCCCCATGTAACCCAGTTTGTAGGCTACCAGGGCTTCTTTAATCCTAATGAGCTCTTGGTGCTTTCAAGCTTCTCTTTTTACAAAAATGAAAATTAACACTGGGACAGTGTGGAAAACTGGCAATATAGTGATCTGTTTGAATTTGGATTATGGTTGTTTAAATCCAGCCCCAGAGCAGCACAAAGACTTGCCTGGGAGAAACGTGTCTGGGGAGCTGGGACAGACACTGGTTTCAGCCTGGGGCAGCAGGAACCAGCACCTCACTGCTCTGCTTCTGTCAACCTACCAGGGATTTAGGAATTATTACAATTATTATCTTGGCTGTGAAAATCACATGGCTGAGTGAGAATCTGCTTAGAAAGACTAAATTCTTTCAGCCAACTGTAGCAGGTGCTAAAAACCCCCAGCTCCTGCTGCACCAGCAGCCCCCCTTGTTGTATAAAACCAGAGATTAACTCAATGCACTTCTGAACTCCTGAGCTTTTATTGCTGTGACTACCAGATATTTGCCTTGGCTTGAATCTTAGATAAGTGAGGCCTGGGGGCAAACGGCCTGGGAGCAGGGCTGAGGGCTGAGTCAGGTTGCACACACACACACACAAAGGAATCCAGGAAATCATCTCTCCAGGTCTGTTCCAGTGAAGGAAAATGGGAAGGGGAATGGGAAGAAAAGGACTCATGGAATTATTTGAGAAGCACATGGGTGTCTCCTCCCTTAGGAATGGACACCTCACGTTTTCATTTATTAACATAGAGTCTGATTTGCTAAAATGTTTGGCTTCTGCTGCCCTGTTCCATCCCTTTTAGCCTCCAAACGTACCACCCAGCCACTAGAAGCCTCCTGCTTCATGTCACCCAACAGAATGGCAGCAGAAACAAAGGAAAAAAGGAAACATTCATGTACCCAATGTATCTGTGCTACAGATAAGAGTCTCACTCTGCCCTGCACTTGCACACGCCCTGCACTGCTGCATGGCCATGGTGACTGCAGCATAAGCTACATGGCAACGCTGAGAAGCCAGTGCAAAGCTCCTGGCAGTGACCAGGCTGAGGCACAGGAAATGTTACTGGTATCACACCCATTCCATAGGGCAGTGTCTTAATATCCAAATAATTATTCACTGGCTCTGTCAGCTTTATGTGTTTGTATGTTTCCCCTCCCCAGTGTGGCCATTTAAATTCCATTTGCTGTGACCTTTGTTCCATACCCTGCTCACTCTTTAAAACAACCTCTGCTGAGGATCAGCCACTGGCACCCACCTGGGACCCAGGCCTCCTGACTTTAAAGACCTGTCTCACTTCTCCATCCCAGCACAAAGTAATGTTTCAGGCAGTGAAGCATGTCTGTGCATTGGGTGGGAAATACCTAGTGAGAGATTCAAAACAGCCTGCAAAATCCATGATTAGTCAAACCTCAGCCCTTCTAGCCTTTTCCAAGTGTGCTCCTCCCAAAGCTACAGCAGCAGCTCTGGTTTGCAGCCACCCTCCCTGCCCTGATGTCCCCCCAGGTTTGTGCTCCACTTGAGCTGACACCAACAGGGCCACGTCAGGGTAAGGACTGCAAAGAGCACTCCCAGGTGCCATCATCCCACCCGTTTCAAACTGTGCAGAGCACAGAGACCAGACTGCCCCAGGAACAGGTGCTGCCATGACTCCCAAGGGAAGGGTGTCACCTGGCTCCTCTTGCTTTTCCCTCTGCACAGCTGCCCCCCAGCTTGGACCTGCCCGGCTTCGTGGGCTGCCTGGAGCTGGCCACCCTGAACGACCAGGTGATCAGCCTCTACAACTTCAGGCACCTCTACAACATGGACACCACCAGATCACCCCCCTGTGCCAGGTAGGGGACAGTCCCACCCTCACTGCTGCTCTGCTCTGTTGCAAGTGCCAGTCCCAGCAGGTCATTCCTGTTCCAGAACACAAACGTGAAGCTGACACTGAGTTGTCCAGAAGGAACTTCTAACTCCTAGTTATGTCAGCTTATACACTGACCCTGGCCCAGGCTGCCCAGGGAAGCTGTGGCTGCCCCATCCCTGGCAGTGTTGAAGGGCAGGTTGGATGGGGCTTGGAGCAGCCTGGGCTGGTGGGAGGTGTCCCTGCCCATGCAGGGGGTTGGGGCTGGATGGTCTTGAAGGTCCCTTTTAACCCAAACCAGGCTGTGATTCTATGATTTTATGATTTGCTGCTTCCTCCACCAGCTCTCTCACAACATTGCTCGTGCCTCCAAAAGGGAAGTGCAGTGGGTGTCCCCCCTGCTGTCCCAGATGGGCTATGGGGGGGTGAGGCTCCCTCCTTCCCCACACTGCCCTCCTAGGACATCCTGACTGGAACCCTGTCCCAGCAAGAGTTAGACCCACAGTCAGTCAGCTCCAGTGAGGCTGCTAAACTCCAGTGCAGTCTCACCCTTGGCAAAGCCAGGATGGAAGTTCCCTCTTGCCCTTAAACCCCCCACAGAGAATCCTCAGAATGTCATTCATTAACTGGGAAATGAAGCCCCTAAAGCAGAGGAGAACATCAACCACAGCATTTGTCCAGCACAGACGTGAGCTGGCACTGTGTTCATCCCAAGGCAGCAGCAGGAGAATCCCTCTACACAAGGAGCAGGAGAGGGACCCCCAGCTCTCACAGGATGTGCTGGGACAGAGCAAGCAGTTGCTTCCCACATCAATCCCATGGAGAGTGCAAAGTGCTGCTCTTCAGGATTGGAGCATCTCCCTGCTGAGGAAAGGCTGAGGGAGCTGGGGCTGCTCAGCCTGGAGAAGAGAAGGCTGAGGGGAGACCTGATCACTGCCTACACGTGTCTGAGGGTGGGTGCAGGAGGATGGAGCCAGACTCTGCTCAGCAGTGCCCAGGGACAGGGCGAGGGGCAACGGGCACCAGCTGGAACATGGGAAGTGCCCCTGAAAGGTGGGGAGAAACTGCTTGGCTGTGAGGGTGACAGAGCCCTGGGACAGGCTGCCCAGGGGGCTGTGGAGTCCCCTTCTCTGGAGAGATTCACCCCTGGATGCAGCCCTGTGGGATGTGCTCCTGGGGGTCCTGCTGGAGTGGGGTGGGACTGGATGATCCCTGGAGGTCCCTTCCTGCCCTGACAGGTCTGTGGCAGCTCCTGCAGGCTGCTCCTGGGCTCCCCAGCAGAGCCTGTGCTCAGCTAAAGGCCTTGGAGAACTTAAATGTGTTTCTGCACAAACCAGGAGAGCTTGGAATAGAAATCTAAGAGTAACCTTGTAAGGAGGAGCTGGTGTGGGCCTGGTGCTTCACAAGGACAACCAGAGAATTTTCCTGCCCTCTACATACTGCAGAGGACAAGAGCATGAGAGCTCAATGTACCTTCAAAGCTACACAGCATTTTTCAGAAAAAAAAAACCAAACCCAGAAAGAATTTGAAAGCAAACCCCACCAGGCTCACCCTGCCAGGGAGCAGCAGCACTTCACATCATTTCAAGAAAGCATTTTCATTGCTGAGGCCTTTCTATTTCCCTCAGTTAAAAATGGGGCTGTGCCCAACGTTGCTTCCCCACTTGTTGGGGTTTTTTTTTCACAGAAACAAGCTGGCTTTCACCCAGAGCAGGGCTGTGAGCTACTTCTTTGATGGCTCTGGCTACGCCGTGGCCAGAAACATCGAGCGGAGGGGAAGGTTCAGCCAAGTGACCCGGTTTGACATCGAGGTGCGAACGCCCACAGACAACGGGTTGATCCTGCTGATGCTCAACGGGGTGAGTACCCAGCCCTGCTCCATCCCCAGCACCCCCAGTGTCACCAACTACCCAAAATGCTTGTGTCCTGACATGCTTTGTGTTCATCTGGTGTGTGTGGGTATGGGGAGGGAACCAGGACTTGCTTTGCAATGGGCCCAGGGAGCCCAGGCTCATTTAGAGAGAGGCAGGATTCAGTGGTGACACTTCAGAGGGACTCCAGTTGAGCCCAGTAGCTGCATCTTTATTTCAAGATGAAAGCACGAGCAAAGCAATAGGAAATTTCTGTGAAGCAGCTCCCAGAAAGCAGCCACGTGGTGGTACCTGCCCCTTCAGAACCGTGTCTCAGTGTGAGCTAGAGTCAAACACCTAATGAAGTTAGTAAAAATGGAAAATAGCCCCAAAGAAAAGGGCTTGATCCAAGTATCACCAGCTTTTCAGAAGTCTGAGGGTGATGCAGACTCTGCAAGGGTTTGAAGTAGAATCCACACAAATATCCTCTCAAGACAAACCTGGATGTTTTGTCTTTGGGCATCTCCACATCAGGCTCCCAACACCTGTGTGGAGCACAGCTGGGCAGAGTCACAGAGAACATTTCCCTGTGTAGCTGCTGCCCACAGACAGACACTTCTCCAGACACCAACATGTACCACTGCATCCAGCATCTACAGGAGAAAACCCCACTTTTATTAGAAGACCTACTCTCTAGTGTTTGTCTTTAGGGTAACTTCCAGGACAGCAGCTGTTCTGCAGCAGAGCAGCCATCACTAACCTTTGCTCTTAGCAGGCTTTGGACTAAGCAATTGCTGCTAAAAGTTTCCCAGCCCCTGCTGCAGATCAGCTGCCTTCCTCCCAGCAGAAGTGCCCAGAGGTTTGTCAGAGGTGTGTGCAGGTTGTGTGTGCAGTGGAAGCTGCACAGAGATGGGTGTGAGCTGGGCAAGACCCTGCCTGCCCAGGGCACTCTCAGGAGGACCCTGGGAGCCAGCCCGTTGTCCAGCTCTGCAAGGACAGCAGCATGAACAGTAGGAGAAAAGGCAAACATTAGCATTAAAAACATTAACCCAGATGCCCAGTTGCTGGGAACTGTCCTTTCTTCTTCTTTATCTTCAGATTTAGAACAAGACTGATTCTGTGGTGCAGATCTTCATTCCAAGCACTCCCTAAGGATACTTTTCTGAAGTAGATCTGCTCTTCTTAAAGTTCAGGTGTCCCAGCCCTGGGACAGCAGCCAGATCATGAAGCAGGAACAGTCAGGAAATCCAGCAACCAAATCCACAGCAAATCCACTCTGGCTGTTGCTCAGCCTTCAGCAAACACACCAGAGCTGTGCAGGCAGGGTGACAGAGGCTGCTAATGCAGATACAGCCATTCCAGCACAACATTGCTCTTACCAGTAGAATATCTCTCATCTGGGGCATGTGGTATTGCTTGGG